CACCGACCACATCCTGCACGTATTCACCCGTGCAGCAAGTCCTGCGCCCTCACCAACGCTCCGCTCGTCACAAGACCATGCTCCGCACTGTCGCATCCGGCCAGTACCCTGCGTGTCTTTCACCAGTGCCCCGCGCTCCTATGCGGACTCCTCGTGCACCGCACGACCACGCATCTCCAAGCGCCCCGCACTCTCAACCCTGCTCTCCAAGAGAAGCCGACACTAGATCAGTGCCCCCCGGACTCCACCGGAAATCCAAAAACTTAGCTTCAACTGGTATCTTCTTCAACCGATCCACCTAGCACCCCATGCTACACTAAAAAATTTGACAACTATCTTGCCTTCTTTATTTCCTTATGAGATCTTCACGCGAACAAGCTTTGTCTGCTTTTGGAAATTAAAATCTCTACAACTGACGATCAACTTTTTTCTCTGATTTCCATAAGCAAGCCAACTCTCACTTTCAAGAATCACAAGCCCTTCCAAGCCTAAAGCCGTAAGCAAGAATCCAACGCCATCAATTAAGAAGCATATGCTCTGTTCCACGAATACTAGCCTCCTTCTCCATTTGAAACAACTGTCTGGAACGGACCTCCTGCCTCTGCCGCAGTCAGTGCGAGACCTCCCAGCTTCCGTCCAATCCGCCTGGTCCGATCAGCCTTGCACGAAACAGCTCGTACGTGGATCCTTCTCCCTTGGCCTTGCCCGTGCAAGAAACCTCCGTCCAAGATCCGTCTACGGCAACCCAGCTCCCGATTTCGAGAGAAAAACCTGCACACCGGACCAAGATCCTCCGGCTTTCCTTCTTGCGTCACCGGAAACCACCGTCCGTTCTCCCTTCGCCGAGCCGAAGTCACCTCCGATTGTGGTACCGGCTGCCTGCCGCCGAGACAGCCTGCTCCAGTTTCTTTAGACAAGAAACCTTCTCTCCTCCACCTCGAGATCGCCACCACCGTAGCTCTGATACCAGATGTGAGATCCCTTCACTTGAGGAAGAAACACTTCCTCATGGATCTTGAAAGAGGAGGAGAAGTGAGAGAGGAGAAAGAGGCGGTGAGCCAAAACAATGCACAAATTCTTTATTCCTTGGCTTAATCTGCTTAATCCTAATACAAGCTAAAAGGCCTATTAATAGGAACCTAAGGCTATACAAATAGCCACACACAAGCTATACAAAAACAAACCTAAAAAATCTGGAATAAAACCTAACAATCACCCTCTTAGTCCAAATTTAACAAAACACAAGATAACCACTGTTCATAAAGAACAACCAAAGAATGATCCTGTCAGAAACTTCTTGAAATATTTTTTTTATTTGAACGACATAATTTTTATTTGTTTCCTTTGTTGGACTCATGGCATTGAGATTAATAAGATGTTATCTTCGAATCACTAATCAAAGATATTGCCAACGACAAGCATTAGTAGACTGACACTATCAAATGCCCATCAATTGTCGTAATATAATATACCTTATCTTAATCATAAAAAGGTATGATCTACATAATTTTGTTATTAATAACAACAACAAAATGTTTTGACACATTCTTGTTAAGCATCAAAAAATCCTTCTCGGAATCTATAAATAGTTATTAATTAACTTAATTGAAGCTTTCAAAAGTTTTGGATTGTAGGAGAAGTCTTTAGTTTTAACTGTTACCTGAAGTTTTTGCCTGCTCCATTTTTTATTCCGATATTTATGCTATTTTATCTATTGCTTGTAGGTCAAGCAAGCTCGACTAATCTCAATAGCCTTCCTTCACCTTCTTCCAATTCCATAACTTGGACATATGATACATCCTACTCCCACTTGATTTATATTTTCTCTATGTAATAAATATTCTCCTTCCTCAAAAAGAACTTTCCCTGCTAACTTCCCTTACTACATATAGTAATTATAACATTTTTTTATCATCTTGTACAATGTTGGAGCACATGACTATTTGATTAATATTATTAAATATAGTCATTAAAATTGTATAATTAATATGATCGATAAGATTTTGGCATAAAGAGAAGCCTTAATCATAGGGGAAAAAATCAAATCCATTACCATATCGTAGGTTTATATATTGGTTGTATAACTGTTACCATCACCGATTTACTTCAAATTGAAGATAGACCCTATTAACCCAGCTTCAGCAGAATCCCCTTTGTCTTGCCCAATATCCATCGAATACTACTCTTAGTTGTCTAATTGTTGATCAGAAATGGACCCTTCTCTCATTCTGGGATTGCTCTTCTCGAGGACTTATTGAGTCTATCCCTATTCAACCCCAATCCTCTAGCTGCCTATTTTGGAGAATGCATTTACTAGCTCTTTTTCCTCTTTCATTTAGGAATTTTGCATGAATGAAAATTTGTGTGATTGGGATAGTTTTATTTGGCACAAACACTATGCTTGGATGGCAATTCATTGAGGGCCTAAAACGATTGATGTTTTAGCTAGACGCATCATACAGATTCCTTCTTCTTGAATTTTTTGCCATAATTATCTGGAGTTTTCCTCACATCTTTTCTTCGAATGTGAGCATTTATTTGCAATTTTGATTGCCCTGCTACCTACCATTAATTTATTCTTACTCAGGCTGAATATACTTCAAGTATTTGAGGCTATTGAAGATATGGTTTTTTCCATGTAGGCATTGAGAATCTCTACTTCCTAATTCTTTGTTGCTCTGTTTATCATATTTCAAGAGAGAAAAATGATAGGAGGTTTGGTGGGACTTTTGATAGTGTTTCTTCCTTGTGCAAAAAATCAAGAAGGTAGTATGCATGAAAATTTCTAATTGAAAAAGTTGGTAAAACATCAAACACGGGATTTAAAATGTTCGTGTATTTAGTTTCATTTGTTTTGCATCTCTACTATGTATTGGTTGGTGCAGGAGGCATCGGCCTTTCTATTCTTTTCTGTTAGGTTTCCCCACGCATTTCAGTGGGTTAGGCATCTTTATGCCTTCGCGAAAGTGGCCTTTTCAAAGATTTCAAGCTATAATAGTTCGTTGTGCCTTTCATTTTTTTTTTTTTGGTCTGGTGGGATTAATTAACTGCCTTAGACAATGATGACCACCCCTCCAATCCAATGACAATCATGGGATTTTTGTGCCTTTTTTTACTATTGATTGCTATTTTTTCATTACTTGAGTTCTAGCAGTAAGGCTTTTGCCTTTCTTTTTTTGGATCGGATACTTGTGTATTTCCTTGTCTATGTTGGGATCTTCATCCTTGGATGGGAGATTCCTATCCTTTTTGTCTGAGCATGACTCTTTTTGGGTGGCTGCTGTTGTAGCATTTTGCTTTTATTTTTCTTTATTGTTGATGTATCATCAAAAAATTATCTTGATCGGGCTTGAATCTCGAGGCAAAATCGAGCCGAAATCTCAAAAATTAAATACGGGATCACCTGAGCTCCGATTTCAACGAACTTATAGTCAAACTAAGCGTCTCGAAAATACAAACTCAATGACACCAAATTCGACTCAATCCAAGCCCAAATGAGTCCAAATCAAGCACCTGAAGCACTGTTGGAAAGTTCAAACCATAATTTGAGTTAACAAACGGTTTCCAAATATGACGTTCTTATAGTCGAATCAAGCGGCTCGACGAGACGAATCCAATGAGCCCAAGATCGCCGAATTCCAATATCATTAAGACATTCAAATGTCTGACGAATGATGCACGATCAAGGGATTCAATATCGGTCGTCCATCCTACCGCTCCCTATTTGCCCATGATCTCTCACCTATTTACAAGCCATACCACTCCATAATATCTATAAATAGATCTCTCATTTCTCATGAGAGGGGTCCAAGCAAGAAGAAGAAGAGAAGAATAAGAGAATGATTGGAGGGAAGAAACTCCTCCACGACCACCGCCGGAATTCTGCCCGATGCCCAAGTGACACCGGAATTTTGCCCGACACTCAAGTGATGCCGGAATTCTGTCCAAGTGACACCGAAACTCTACCTAGCGTTCGAGTGACGCCGAAATTCCGCTCGATCTCCAAGTGACGTCGGAACTCTGTCCGATGTTGTAACTGATTTTCAATCCTGAAGTGATTCATTGTAATCTGATCGTCCTAAATTTTAAGGACGAGTCAGTCTCTTGTATTTCAAACAAACACTAATGAAACTCTTTCAACTAGGCATGGCCCTATGGTTTTTTCCCTTTCGGGATTTTCCACATAAAAATTTTAGTGTTATCATTTCTCCTCTATTTGTGTGCTAGATATTCGTACAACGATGAGACGGAAATTTGCTAACTCTATCACCACGTATATTCTAATCCGCAACACTTATATTTATATTTTATTTTTCTTTTACACTTGTAACATTCTTTTTTAATGGAAGAGCTAAGCCTTTTTAGGGCCTAATTTCCCAAAAAGAAAAAAAAGACACCCTTATCGGTGAGGTAAAATAGAATGATTAACCGCCTTCCAAACGTTATGGTCAATGGCTATCAATAGAAAAAAGTGAAAAGAGAAATCTTTAAGAGTGGCAATGAGTTTGGTTCATATTGAAATTTAAATTTTAAATCTGAGTCTGTCATTTTGAGTCAATCCTGAATAAATTCAGCTCAAATCTCTTAATTTATACATATAGGGTCTAAAGCAAATTATTTTAAATTCAAATCAATTGAAATTTTCGAATAATTATTTTGTAATATCAGGTTTCAAATATAAAGAACATTTAAAAAAACAGAGCCTGCTACTCATCAGGCTTCTCTACGCCCGCTTTTACATGCTGCCATTAGAAAATACTCTTCGTTCTAACTCCTGCGTGAATGAATAGATTGGCAACCAAAACTAATAATACATATCCAAAATAAGGAGCAATTGTTCACTACACTGTAATAAGTTGTTTCCTTAAGCGCAACGTTGGCCGGTCCAGATCGACCGAAAACCAACTCACCACTTACACTCCCTAGTCCCACGGATGAAGACTAATGCATGCGGCCCTAATCCAAAACCAAAAATTACGGATGAGACATCAAGATTTTCTCTAAAGGAAGATGAAGCATTCCAAGGAGACAAGGGGGTTTTCCAGCGATTCCTTGCCTCCCATCGCCGCCCCTGAGTTTCCGCATTCCACCATATCCTGCGCCAACGTCTTCCTGCAGCGGCCGCTGCCGCTACCGCCGCCACCGACGCAGAATCGGCCACCTTCCACCACTCCGCCCCCAGCAACCGGCAGCAGAGAAGACCTCCCGTTCGCCCTCTCCGCCGAAACCCCCCTACACTGCCCTCCGATGCTTGGCTTCGCCGCCGGTGAAACAGATCTCCGTCCAGACCTCTCCCCTGGGTCTCGGCACAGCGCGTTTCCGCGGCTCTTTGGAGCCGTCGACGCATCCCTCACCAAGCACATCCTCCCCCCGCTACCGCCACCGCCCTCCCTGCGCCTGGCAGGTGACGGCGATGACGTCCTACGGCTACGACATCCCACGGCAGCAACGGAGCCTGTCATTCTCTCTTTTTTCAAGAGGCTGTCACCGGAGGAACTCGATCGCTTTCGCTGAAACTTCACTAGAGATGTTGGCAGAGGCCGCTCCTCCCATGTGACCTCCGTCACAGATGTAGAAACAGAGAAGCCCTCACTGACGCTGCAGACCTCCGAAGTCCCCTCCGATCTGTCATCCCTACCGGTTTCGTTGCCCCTTTTCTTCTCGATTTCAAGATCCTCCTCTTTGGACGGTCGAGGCGTCTTCATCCTTGGAGTTTCCGAAAGGACTTCCTTCACCGTCTCTTCCTGCGGCGCCTCCTGCTCCGGCGGCGGATCTCGGCAACCTTCTACGGATCTCGACGGCTGAGGCCGTCTGCCTTTTCTCCTACTGAAGCACGCGCCCATCCTTCAACGCAGTTACCCGCCGTACAGCTCTGCGGCCACCCCACTTGTCTAGGATCTCCGGCGACGTGCGACTGCTACTGCTTAGCCATCTTTATAGTCGATTATGTGGAAAGTCAAAGGCAGCGGGATTCGTAAAGGATTTAGGGTTCTGGCGGGGAAAATTTATAAATTAAATAAAAAAACCTATTGCGACGTTGCGAAAATTCTTAAGTACTTTTTTTTTTTTAGAATTAAGGGATAGTATTTGACAGTGGCGGAGCTAAAAATATTTAATGGAAAGGGTTTTTTTTTAATTCCCTCAATTTTTTTCATCTATGTTTATTTGTCATTGACGGTTTTAAAAAATTTCATTTAAAAAATAAACTACTAAATATAAAATGAAGTACACTTACAATTTATATTTTATGTTCTTCATATTTTAAAAAAAATAAATAATAATATTATTGTCAATATAATCTAAAATTTCTTTTTCAATATAAGTGATTAAATTAATATTAATTCATTGATCTCCAATTTGATTACGTAGTCGATTTTTAATGATGTTCATTGCAGAAAATGCTCTTTCAATTCTTATTGTTGTAACGGATAATACTAATGTCAGCTTTAATAGCCTAAAAATAAGGGGATATAATATTTTCTTTCCGTTCTTAATCATTTTTTCATCAAGACTTCTTATATCTTTTAACAAAAAAAAAATGTATATCAAACTGCATATTAATAATATGAATTTCCAGTTGACTGTCAAGAATAATCAAATCGGAAGAAGTGAAATCGCTTGAATATAAGTTTGTCATTTTATTTAACATCTCTTTATTGAACGCATAGAATGATTTTGATGGATTCAAACAAGTAATATACAAAAGTAATTCATTATTAACTTCTGTGAAACGATTATTCTACTCTTGTAATTGCATTTCAAGTATTGTTTAGAATATATCAACTCGGCAATTATGTAAATTTGTGATGTCTTGAAGTCCACATTGTGATCGTCCACAGGCAACCCATTTATTATTTAGATTCGGAGTGATAATTTTATGTTCAACCAAAAATGAAGACATTTTTTAATGAACTCATCCTACTTGTTATCTCTCAGGTATTGTAATATTATTTTTTATATTTGAACAAAAGACATGGCATTCACGATGTCCTAATCTTTTCTTTGCAAAGCATCTAATAATTCAACAGTGATTACAAGTAGTGCGGACAAAAAAGAGAAGTCAAAGGATTGCACTGAATCTAATAATGCAAATGCTTCTCTTCTTTATTCAGAGCTTATGTCATCCTTCAAAATTATTTCAAACATATTAACAACTGAGGAGAACATTATAACCAATCTAATTAGTGACTCCTAATAAGAACATCATCTTGTTTCACCAGGACGATGTAAATATATTTCTTGATTTAATCCTCATCCAGTAAACACCTCATCAGTTTGTAATGCACTTAATGTTATATCGCGTTGTTTATCTCTTAGTTGATCACAACATTTGCATAAAACACCGACAATCTTCATCACATTTGAAATTATAGTGAACAATAGTGCAATCTTAACATGATTTTTTGCAACTGCTACTAAAGCTAACTGAAACCGGTGTGAAAAGTAGTTAATATAATGTGCAAAACTATTATGATTTAGAAAAAGTGCTTTTAGACCATTAAATTCTCCACTTATATTGATTGCGCCATCACAACCTTGACCATGAATTTTAGAGTGAGACAAACAGTAATTTGAGAGGGCTTCTTCAACTCCTTTTTTGAGACATCGAGCTGAAATCTCAGGAACATATACAATACCCAAAAAATATTTAATAATATAACCTTTCTCAATCACATATTATATAACGACAGTCATTTGTTCTTTTCCTGAAACGTCTATCTTTCATCCAAAACTTACTTTTAGGGAATTCATGATTGCAAGGCTGACATGATCATCCTTTTTGCAAATATGATATTCAAATTTGATCATAAATGTTAAAACTAAATTTAAAAATAGGTATACATAATCCAGGATCTATTTGAAGATTCTCTAAATATATTATCATAATTTTTGACGATTCACAAAATGTTTGAATTTCTTTTTTATTTTGGTCATTATCCTTCACTTCTTAATCCTCTATTGGTGATAATATGCAAGATTGTGATGACTTCTTAAAATATTTCTCCATAATCTTTGTGCAAGTTGAGATTTGTGAACTACATAAAACATAAAAAATATAAACTGAATATAAAATTAAAATGAGGCAGCAAACGAATTTTTGTTTTGTTATCCTAAACAAGAAAATAATGCATTACATTGGGTATTGAAATATGAAAACAGTAAACAATAAACTACACTCAATTTTTACATAATTTTGAAATAAGATCAAACAAGTTCACTTTTTTTTTGTTATCCTCAACAGAAAATAGTATAATAATTACTAAAGTAAATGAAATTTTCTTTTAGAAAAAAGAAAGCTATAATCAAAACTATATATAGAAAAAAATACAAATTATTAGGTTTTTACGGTTTTACCTGTGCTGCCGGCTGGATCCAAGACGGGATAACAAGAAGCCCTATGCTGCCAGCTGGATCCAAGATGGAATAACAAAGCCAAGAAGGGAGAGCTGCCTATTAGGACTAAGATAACTGTTTATGATATCTAGAAGTTTCATAGGTTCTTTTGTAATTAAACAAAGTCTAGTTTACATAATCTGCTCTATATAAAGAGCAGCTGTCTTGTATAGAGATATACGAAAATACTCTTTTACTCATCTTCTTTCTATATGCATCTTGAGTTTCTTCATGGTATCAGATTTTGGCTTCGATCCTTCGCCATGACTGATTCGGCGACCTCCCGACTTCAAGAACGAAGCACAAGCCAGACGTCCAATGAAGCGACGATCTCGGCGAATCTCAAATTCGTAGTATCAAATCTGCGAAACATAGTCTCTTCCCCTCTCACTCCGGATAACTTCATCATTTGGAAATCACAGATTCTAAAGACTTTGCGCGCCAATGGTTTTCTGAAATATCTTGCCTTGCCTCCGGATCAGTTCTTGCATTCTCAAGATGGTGATTCGGTGGCTAATCTGGCGTACTCTCAATGGATGCAGACATATCAGAATCTATCTGCGTCCATCTGTTCAACCATTTATGCTTCTATACTCCCGTATGTCATTTCTCTTGACTCAACGGCGGAGGTTTGGTCGGCTCTTGAAACACGATTTCAGGCTACCAATCGCTCGAAAGTGATTCAGTTAAGGAATGCGCTGCATAATGTCTCGCTCAAAACCAATTCGATGATGGTTTATCTTTCGGAGATTAAGGCAATAGTCGACCAAATTTCGGCAGCAGGAGCATCGGTTGATCCTGAAGATATCATTCATCATATCCTCAATGGACTTCCGCAGATTTATCAGTCTTTCAAGACTTCTATTCGCACCTCCACGTCTTCGCTTACTCTTGATCAAATCTATCCGCTACTATTGAGTGAAGAAATCAATCTAGCAGCTGATGCTGCTAGGTTTTCTTCAAATCAAGATCCGACCATGGCTCTGTTTAACACCAGAGGCAGAGGTCGTCGACAGAAAGGCAAGAACTACTACAATCCCTCTACGACAAACAAAACCACAAATGCGGATAACTCAAGTGCGATGTCCCAACCAAGAAACACGCAAACGTTTGCGATCTTCTGTCAAATTTGTTATAAGAAGGGGCATTCGGCACAAACGTGTTGGCATCGTCTCAATGTTCAGTATGTTCCGCCATCCAAAAACACAAATTCAGCGTTAATCGCCAGCTCGGAGACGCCCGATACCACGTGGTTCCTGGACTCAAGAGCTTCTTCCCACCTCACAAACTCCATGGATAACATGTCTATGGCGCATTCATATCACTGAGCGGACAGTATTACGGTTGGAGATGGCACCACGGTACCAATTGCTCATACAGGGTCGGGAATATTACCGACCCCTCACCGTAAGCTGCGACTAAAGCAACTCCTTCATACACCATCTCTTAAATTTAATCTTTTATCTATTTCTCAATTAACTAAAGATAACAATATCTCTATTAGTTTTGATCCGTCTGGTTTTATGTTGAAGGACCTTGCAACACAACAGGTTTTGCTCCGAGGACCATGTAACGGAGGACTATATCAAATTCCCGTGAATCCTAAGCAGCACAGCCACCAGGCGCTCTCAGCCTCCACGTCTGCAGCTCATACCTGGCATCACCGCCTAGGCCATCCGCACAAAAGAATTTTTGATTGTATTTCGCATTGTCATCCTGATTTGCATATGAATAAATGTATATCTCCATGTTCTTCTTTTATTGTATCAAAGTGTCACAAGCTTGTGTTTGACAGCATATCGCTTCGACAAACACAACCGCTAGCCCTCATCCATTCGGATGTTTGGGGCCCGGCACCTATTTCTTCATGTCAAGGTTTTCATTTTTATGTACTCTTTGTAGATGATTTCTCAAGATACTCGTGGATTTTTCCTCTTCAACATAAATCTGATGTTTTTCAAATTTTTGTTAATTTTCAAACACAAATTGAAAGGCTAACTTCGCAACGAATTAAGATCCTACGGACCGATGGAGGCTCCGAATACGTCAATATGGCATTCAAGAACTATCTCACCAAGCATGGTATTGTGCATCAACTTTCATGTCCGTATACACCTGAACAAAACGGCCTTGCGAAGAGGAAGCATTGTCACATAATAGAAACAACTCGCACGCTTCTTCATACTGCCTCCCTTCCCCATGTCTACTGGCCTGATGCGGTAAATACGTCAGTCTTTCTTATTAACAGGTTACCTTCTAGCAATCTCAATCACAAAATGCCCCTTGAACTCATGTTCAACAAGCAACCGAATTATGCAGGGTTAAAAGTTTTTGGGTGTGAATGCTATCCGTTGTTTCCATCTCACACTACAACGAAATTACATCCAAAATCTCATAAATGTGTATTTCCTAGATATTGTGATCAATACAAAGGATACCGTTGTTTAAA